GAGCCCTTCATTGTCTTTGCAGTGGTAGGCCAGAAGTTCTTCAGGTATTTCTCCTGCAGCAAACCCTAAACCCTAAACCCTAAACCCTAAACCCTAAACCCTAAACCCTAAACTCTAAACCCTAAACCCTAAACCCCAAACGCTAAACCCTCCAGCTTGGGCCCTCTTCACACGGAGCAGCAAAGCAAAGAACTCACCTTCTTTGAATTCTTGTCTGAGTGACTCCATTTGATCCATTTTCGCTGTGGAAGAAATCCTTTTTAATTTTCTGAATCGCGGGTTTAGGGTCTAGGGTTTAGGGTTTAGGGTTTAGGGTTTAGCTCCCGCCGGTTCTTTGGCAGCTTCCAGGAAATGGAAACACCAATATAGGGTTTAACGCTTTCTTAAAGAAGTTAAATAACTCAGAAAAGTAAAAGAAAAACGAAACAGCGACTAACACGTAAACGTGGTGTGTGCTCAGGTGTACATACACCTCACGCCACCGCGTCTTTTGGTCTTCCTTCCGGCGAAATTTTCCGTTTAAAGTTTCTTTAGAGTTAATTTTTGACTTTAAATTCAACTAAAAGGTCTAACTGGCTTTTTAGCGCGCCGCAGAAGGTCAATTTGAGTTGAAATCCACCGAGCGGCAACGAGTCGCCTCAGGGGCGTGTCTACCCGCCTCACAGCGCCCGCAGAGACCAAACGGGAGTAAAACGGAAGAAATTAGTTTAAAATGTGTTTTTAAATTAATTTAAAATACTTTTTCAATTAAATTATTTAAAAAATCCGTCAAAGTATTCCATTTAATGAAACTTTCCCTCTCTGATGGTGCTCTGTTGAATGTGGCGATAAACGAGGTGTACATACACCCCAACATCCGCGTCCAAAAGTGGAAATAAAAACAAAACCATCATTTCAGAAACTTTTAATTCTTTTGAAGACTTTCTGATGAAATAAACCCTCATATTCGGGATTATTGAGAAACCTTCACTCATTGCTCGTTCATTTGCAGCAAATTAGAGAGAAAATAACAACAACCCCACCAAATTACAATAATTCCGCCCGTATAGTCGCTTGCTGCTGCTGCTGCTGCTGGTGCATTGCTGCGGCGGCTTGCGGGGCTGCTGCTGCCACTGCTGGCGTCGCTGCTGTTGGTGCTGCTGCTACTGTTGCTGCTGCTGATGTCGCTGCTGCCGCCGCTGCTGCTGTTGCTGCTGCTGCGGCTGGTACCATTGCTGCTGCTGTTTCTGTTGCTGTTGCTGCTGTTGTTGTTACTGCTGCTGCTGCGCGTCGCGGCGAGCCTTTAGAGCTGCAGAGCTCAATCTAAACAGCAGCAACAGCAGCAGCTGCAGCAGCAAAATCTCTAAGTTGTAGCGGCTACAGAAGCAGTAGAAGCGGCAGCAACAGCAGCAGCAGCAGCATAAGCAGCAGCAGCAGCAGAAGGAGCAGCACAGAGAATGAAAAGGGATTAACGCTGCTAGTACTCTATTTTACGCAATGCAGCAGCACAAGCGCTTTGGAATGCAATTCTAAACCCTCAATCCCTAAACCCTAAACCCTAAACCCTAAACCATGGGCTGCTGAAAATAAAGAAGCCAGATCTTTGCTGCTGCTGCTGCTGCTAAGAAAAATTACAATTAGTTTTCGCTCTTTTCTGTCTTCAATAGTATAAAGAATCCTAAATAAAGAAACCCCAAATCCTGAACCCTAAACCCTAAACCCTAGAATTTACCAAAACCCTAAACCCTAAACCCTAGAAGTAAAAGAAGACGGAGAATTCCGTAATGACAAAACAAAGCTTTTTCTGCGTGGGTGTAAAGGGATTAGCCCTGCTAAACCCCAAACCCTAAACCCTAAACCCTAAACCCTAAGAGCGCCAAAACCTGGTGGCTTTATATCTTTTCGTTTACTAATAATGAAAAGGGCACTGATTATCTTTTTCTTCTGAATTACATTATATCTTTTATTTTATTTTATTTTATTTTATAAATTATTTAAATTAGTTATCTTTTATTTGTCGCCTTTTGCTGCTGCTGCTGCTGCTGCTGCTGCTGCGCTCTGAAAGCAAAACCCTAAACCCTAAACCCTAAACCCTAAACCCCGAGCCCTAAGCTCTACACTCCGTTCCCAGGCCCCCAAATCCTGGACTCCAAGCTCTAAACCCCAAACCTTAGTGCTGCTGCTGCTGCTGCTGTTGCTGCTGCTGCTGCTGCTGCTGTTTGCGCACCCCGTCTGCTTCCTTCGCGGTGTATGTACACCTCAGAGGCCCCACACCGTGGAAGCAGCAGCAATTGGAACTTCATTTAAATTAAAATTAATTTTATTTTTTTTGTTTTTTAATTTGCTTTTTTAATTCCCATAAAAGAAATCCAATTAAGAAGCCACGCACACCCTCAAGTACTGGTTTGCTGCTAGACGCCCTTGCTGCAGCAACAGATAGCAGCAGCAGCAGCAGCAGCAAAGCTACCTGCATGCAGCTACCTAGTCGCAACTAGCTAGCTGCCGCCAGCTGCAGCTAGCTAGCTGCAGCTAGCTAGCTATGGGTAGCTAACTGTGGCTAGCTAGCTGTGGCTAGCTAGCTGCAGCTAGCTAGCTAGCTGCAGCTAGCTGCAGCTAGCTGCACTCGGCCCCATTTGCCTAGAGATGCAGCAGCAGCAGCTAGCTGCAGCTAGCTGACCGCTGCTGCAGCGTGTCTCTGCGCCTGACCAGCTGCAGCGAGCTGCAGCAGCTAGCTGCAGCAGCTAGCTGCAGCGGCATGTGGCTAGCTGCAGCTAGCCGCTGCATGCTGGCGCTGGTCAGCTTGCTGCAGCTGGTTGCTTGTCTCTGCAGCAGCTAGCTGTTTCCATTAGGTGCTGCAGCTTCTGCTGCTGCTGCTGCTGCTACAGGAAGTGTCCTTTCCGCCTTCTGCGGCGCAGCAGCAGCAGCAGCAGCAACAGCACCAGCGGCAGCAACAGCAGAATCTGCAGTAGCCGCAGGTACATGCACGTCCGTGATAGCAGCAGCAGCAGCAGCAAGAGCAGCAGCAGCAGCAGCAGCAGCAGCAAGGGGAAATAAACTAGATCAGAGGCAGAAACGCGGGCTAAGAAGGCAACGCACAAATGGGAAGAAGGGCGAAGTGGCAGTTTGCTGCTGCATATAGCGCAGCAGCAGCAGCAGCAGCAGCAGCAGCGTGTGCTGCTGACTCGGTGTAGGAACTCTCCAGATAAGATAAACAACAGCAGCAGAGAAAGCAACAGCTGTGCTGCTGCTGCTTTTGAGGTGTATGTACACATGAAATGAATGCTGCAGCGAGCAGCAGCAGCAGCAGCAGCATCGGAGGTGTACGTACACCCCAGAATTTGCGCTGGCGCCTGCCGCAGCAGGAGCAGCAGCAACAGCCGCAGCCGCCGCTGCAGCAGCAGCAGCAGCAGCAGCAAACAACAGCGGCAAAGGGTTAATTTTAAAGAAGGCATGATACAGGAAGCAGCAGCAGGACCCGCATAAAGTGTGTTCGGTTCTAAGTATATAGCGGTTGCGTACTGCTGCTGCTGCTGCTGCTGCCGCTGCTGCTGCTGCTGCTGCTGCTGCCGCTGCTGCTGCTGCTGCTGCTGCTGCTGCATCTCTGTTGCTGCCTCAGCTCCAAACCCTTTTAGTAAAACTGTCAACAGCAAACCACATTCGTTTTTTGTGTCGGGAAAGCCTCGCAGCAGCAGCAGCAGCAGCAGCAGCAGCGGCAGCAGCAAAAGCAGCAGCCGCGGCAGCGGCAGCAACACTAGCAGCAGCAACAGCAGCAGCAACAGCAGCAGCAGACTTATTCTTTTTCTTTTCTTTCGTTTATATTTAGGTTGGAAAGCCTCTCTCGGATTCTGAGGTGTACGTACACCCCATTGCTGCTCCTGTTTTAGCTTTATCTGGTCGCTTTCCATTTGCTGCTGCAGCAGCTCAAGACATATCTCCTTCCCTGCGGTTGCTTCCCGCTGCTGCTGCTGCTGCTGCTGCTGCTGCTTCAAATCCGCGCCAACTGCTGCACTTCGTCGCTTGCGGCGCCCCAATTACCGGCAGCAGCAGCAGCGGCAGCAGCAGCAGCAGGGCCGCAGCAGCAATTGCGGCAGCAGCAGTAGCAAGACTGCAGGAGCAGCAACAGAGGCACAGCAGCAGCAGATCTGCAGCAGCACAAGTGCAGCAGCAACCAAGCTGCAGCGGCAGTAACCAGAGACGGTAGGCAGCAGCAGTAGCCCCTACGGTAGCAGCAGCAGCAGCAGCAGCAGGGTGCTGCAGCTGGTGACAGATTAGATACAGAAAGAGTGAAAGTAGTAATAATTTGCTGCTGCGACGCCGCCGCTGCAGCAGCAGCAGCAGCAGCAGCCGCAGCAGCAAGAGCAGCTGCAGCAACGACGGCAGCAGCGGCAGCCGCAGCAGCAGCTGCTGCGTCACTTTTGCAGCAGCCTAAAGGAAAGGATGCTGTTGCTGCCGTGCGAGGGTTTAGGGTTTAGGGTTTAGGGTTTAGGGTTTAGGGTTTGGGGTTTGTGCGTGCAGGAGGGTAGTATTGGCGGGCGATGCCGGTGGCTGCTGCACGGCTTCCGACAGAGGAATCAACGAAAGAAAGGGTTTAGGGTTTAGGGTTTAGGGTTTAGGGTTTAGGGTTTAGGGTTTTTGAATATGTCTTCTCTCAACAGAAATGGAGGACAAGAGCCCTCTAGAGCGTGAGTCGTTATTTGCTGCTGCTGCTGAATTATTTTAATTTTAAAATTAAATTTGATTGAATTAATTAATTTAATTTAATTTAATTTAATTAATTTAATTTTGTTTATTTAATTCTATTTTTAACTGTTCTCATAATTTCCTTTTTGCATTTCATTTTGCTCCTTGCTGCTGCCGCATTTGCTGCTGCCGTGTCTCTTTGCTTCGTGCTGCTGGGTCTAGGGTTTAGGGTTTAGCGTTTAGGGTTTAGGGTTTAGGGTTTGGCTGCAGAAGCATAGATCCCAGAAATGAAGGACCGCAGCAAACGGATAGAGTGAAACAGATAATTGAAATGGAAATAAATAAGTAGAATAAATAAAATAAATAGTTAGAACAAGTTGCTGCTGCTGCTGCTGCTAGTTCCTGCTGCTACTTCGTGCTGCTGCTTGCTGCTGCAGCTCCCTGCTTGCTGCTTGCTAGTTGCTGCTTCAGCTCCTCAGTGCAGCTCGTTGTTTGCTGCTGCAGCTTGCTGCTTGAGTTTGCTGCCGCAGCTAGCTGCTGCAGCCCGTGGTTTGCTGCTGTTTTCAATTTGCTGCTGCTGCTGCTGCTGCAGCTGCAGCTATCCGTTTGCTGCAGTTAGTAATTAGAGCTGCAGCCTGCTGCTGCGGCGTGTCAGTTGCTGCTGCAGCTAGCCGCGCATGCGCCACGCCCGCCGCGGCGCCGCCGCCGCTGCTGCTGCTGCTGCAACCTTTGCTGCTGCTGCTGCTGCTGCAACCTTTGCTGCTGCTGCTGCTGCTGCTGCTGCTGCTGCGCTGCAGCTTGCGGATTGAAAGCACCACTTGGAGCCGGGACAGCCACGGGTTGTTTGACTACGAAGCTCGGCATGTAAATATAAAAAGGTTTTTGGTTTCAGCAGCAGCAAAACTTTACAGAAGAGGTCCCGAAGTTATTTGTTTGCCGGAAGCAGCTCCGCTTCCTGCTGCAGTTCCTGCAGCAGCAGCAGCAGCAGCAGCGCAGCAGCCCGCAGCTGCAGCAGCGGCGCAGCAGCAGCCCGCAGCTGTCGCGGGGGACGCCCTCTTTCCTGCTGCTGCTGCAGTGCCCCCCGCTGGAGCTGCTGCAGCAGCAGCTGCTGCTGCTGCGGCCGCCCAGCAGCCTGCTGCAGCAGCAGCTGCAGCGCCAAATGCCGATGGCGATAGGCCCCAAGCAGCAGATGCTGCAGCAGCAGCAGGAGCCCCGCCGGGAGACCAGCAGCAGCAGCAGCAGCAGCAGCAGCAGCAGGAGGCCCCTCCAACCACTGACTTCTTGCTCTCCATCCGATGCTCTCGTGACGGTTCGTCTAGATGCCATTTTGTTTTTAATTCAGTTTAATTTAATTCAATTCAATTTAATTAATTTGATTTAATTTAATTAATTTAATTAATTTAATTTAGTTCTTTTGTTTGATTGATTGTTTGCTGCTGCGTCTTTTCTTATATCTCCAACGCTGCTGCAGCTGTTACTCCTCGTGTTGCTGCTCGTGCTGCTGCTGTTGCTGCTGCTTCAGCTGCTGCTGCTGCTGCTGCTGCTGCAGCTGTATCGCCTGTCTGTGTGCATTAGAAAACGCGAGCAGCAAAAGGACAAAAGAACAAATACTAAATAAGAAACAGCAAAAAAGAAAGCAATTCACCGCCGCTGCTGCCGCTGCTGCTGCTGCTGCTGCTGCTGCTGCTGCTGCTGCTGCTGCTCAGGGCGCTTCGTGGTGATGCCGGCGGAGCGTTCGGGGCCCTCGGGTGTCTGTACACCGCAGAAGCTGTGGTCCATAGTGCGGGACGAAAATAACAACAAACACATTTTGCAAGAAAATGATATAATTAAACTTGGAAGATATAAATTAAAAGTGAAACAAATAGTGACGCAAACCCTCAAAAGAGAGGATTCCCAAAACCCTAATTCGGAGATTCCCCCGCTCAAGCTCGACGACGGAGAACCGCCCCTTTCCTTCGTCGCCTCCAAGTAAACCCAAAACCCTAAACCCTAAACCCTAAACCCTAACCCTAGACCCTAAACCCTGAGGGAACTTAGGAACGCTAGAGCTGAGAAACCCTAAACCCTAAACCCTGGCAAACCCGAGGTGGACGCTGGGAAACCCTAACGCCTAGGAAGCCCTCAACCGCAAACCCTAGAAACCCCTAAACCCTAAACCCTCGAGTGGCGTAAACCCTAGGTCCGAAACCCCAGAAAGCCGTAAACCCTAGAAACCGCAAACCCCAACCCCCAGCCGCAAACCCCAATTCGCAAGCCTGAAGCCGGAACTTGGGGCCAAAGGCGGCAAACCCTAAACCCTAAACCCTAAACCCTAAATTGGCGTGTTGCGCGCAGCGACATGCAGTGCCGGATTTGCCTGCTGGAGGGGAACCAAGAAGGGGACCCTTTGATATCTCCTTGCGACTGCAAAGGGTCAATTAGATTTGTTCATTTGAGTTGCATTAGACATTGGATTTCTGGAAGATTAAACATTCAGCAGCAGGAGCAGCAGCAGCAGCAGCAGCAGCAGCAGCAGCAAAAGCCCCTCTTCGTCAAACAGCTCCTCTGCGAACTCTGCAAGTTCCCCTACCCCGCGGCCATCAACTACAACAACGGCGAGTCTTTCACTTCTTTTTTATTTCTTTTTATTTCTTTTTTATTTCTTTTCTGTCTTTGTTTTCTTTTCTTTTATTTACTTATCTCCTTTTTTCCTTTTATTCCTCTTTGTCTTTTCTTTCTCCTCTTTTCTGGTGGTCCTTGTGGGCTTTTTTCGCTTTTTCTCGAGGGTTTAGGGTTTAGGGTTTAGGGTTTAGGGTTTAGCAGCGCGTGCGGCCGCAAACACCGCCCGACCCAGACCACCAGGGCTCCCGCGCGCTAGGGTTTAGGGTTTCGTGGCCAGCAGGCTCCAGCGTCCAGCCCTCAGGATTTAGGGTTTAGGGTTTAGGGTTTAGGGTTTAGGGTTTGGGTGCAGAACGCATTCAAGTGGTGACAGTGCCGCGGACAGAACCTCCTTTTTTGGTTTTAGAAAATATGGTGGGCTCTCATCAAAAGGGAATTCACGTCATCAGCATGAGTGCCAAAAAAGACCTCAAACTCGTAAACCCTAAACCCTAAACCCTAAACCCTAAACCCTAAACCCCAAACCCTAAACCCTAAACCCTAAACCCCAGCCCCCAAGCCGCGACCGCCTTCCCCGAACAACCCCTTCTCCCCCCTCCCCCGCCAACCCCCCCCCAAACCCCAAACCCCAAACCCCAAACCCCAAACCCCAAACCCTAAACCCTAAACCCTAAACCCTAAACCCTTGCGCGCAGGGCCGGGGGCACGAGTCGGACGTGCGGATTCCAGATGTTTCGATTTCGAGGTATCATGCAACAATAAGATTTGTAGAAGGGGTTTTTGTTTTGGAAGACAACAACAGCAAGTTCGGAACCCTCGTGTCGCTGCGCAAGGCCTTCGCCGTCGGAGACGCAGGCAAACCCTAAACCCTAAACCCTAAACCCTAAACCCTAAACCCTAAACCCTGGGCCGCGGAAGCCCCGCGCGACGCTCCTCCCGCGCCCCCGAAACCCCTCAACACCAAACCCTAAACCCTGAACCCTCGGGGGGTCAGGCGGGGCCTCCAACAGGAGGGACGGGGTGCTCCAAACCCTAAACCCTAAACCCTAAACCCTAGGAGCTCCGCGGGTTTCGCGTTTGAGGACCCCGGCGCATGGCGCGCTGGGGTCTTCGGGAACCCTCTTCCACACAAAGCAACTAAAACCACAATTCAGTGTTTATTTATTTTTTATTAATTAATTAATTAATTAATTAATTTATTTATTTATTTATTTGCTGCTGCAGTCACCGCCGTGCAAATTGGCCGCAGCGTCTTGAAGCTCTCGCTGAGCTCTTTTCCTGCGGGCGCGGCTGCGGTGGTGCAGATTTTTGATTCTTCAGTTCCGAGTTTTCGTGAGTTTGAATAATTAAATTAATTAATTAAATTAAATTAATTTAATTGAATTAATTAATTTAATTAAATCAAATCATTTATTTCGTTCTATTCCGCAACACCGCTTTCTCCCGACCCAGTCAACGCGTTTTGAGCAGGTCGCGCGAAGAAACAGGTTTTAGGGTTTAGGGTTTAGGGTTTAGGGTTTAGGGTTTAGGGTTTGGGGATTGGGGTTTGGCGCTTTGCTGCAGCCGAAGTTGGTGATCGCCCCAGTGGACAGCAGGGAACAGCAGATGCAGAGCAGCAGGACCAACAACAGCAACAGCAACAGCAGCAGCAACAGCAGCAGCAGCAGCAGCAACAGCAACAGCAGCAACAACAGCTGCAGCAGGAACAAGAGCGACAACAACAGCAACAGCAGCAGCAGCAACCGCAGCAGCAGCAGCAGCGAGAGCAGCAGCAGCAGCTACAGCAGCAGCTGCAGCAGCAGCAACAGCAGCAACAGCAGCAGCAACTACAACAGCAGCAGCCGCCGCAGCAGCAGCGCCAGCAGCAGCAGCAGCAACAGCAGCAGCAGCAGCAGGAAAGGGCGGAGCAAGAGGATGATGAGGAGACTCGGAGTAGCGAGCAGCGTGAGCTGCAGCAGCAGCGCTTCCAGCAGCAGCAGCAGCAGCAGCAGTTTGAGCAGCAGCTTTCTCAGCAGCGCCTGCAGCAGCAGCAGCAGCAGCAGGAAGAGGCAAGCATTGCGGTGCAGCAAGACCTGTTTAGCTTCGAGCAGCAGCCGCGGGATCTGCTGCAGCAGCAAATGCAAAGAGAAGCAGCAGCATGGATGCTGCAGCACTATGTACATGTGGGGCCCCACACCAGCAGCAGCTGCAGCAGACAAATGCCTAGTTAGTTGCTGCTTCTTTTGTAGCTTTAAATGAAATAAATAAATAAATAATAAATAATTAAAATAATAAAGGTCTCAGCTTGCTGGTGTTCAGGCAGCAGCAGCAGCAAGGCAAGACGGCGCCGGCAGCAGCAGCAGCAGCGGCAGCAGCAGCAGCAGCAGCCAGGCCTCGCGCTTTCCCCTCATTCCGTTTCCGTCAGAGGCAGCAGCAGCAAACGCAGCGGCAGCAGCAACAGCAGCAGCAACAGCAGCGTCGTTTCGCAGCCTAGGGGACCAGCAGCAGATGCAGCAGCAGCTGCAGCTGCAGCAACAGCAGCAGCAGCTGCAGCAACATGCATGCATTTCTTCTCTTGTCCATAATGGAGGCAGCGGCGGGGTCCGAGTCGATATGTTTGCTGCTGCTTCTCAAGCTGCTGCCGCTGCTGCTGCTGCTGCTGCTGCTGAGGGCGACCGGAAGAGCGCAGCAGCCGCTGCAGCAGCAGCAGCAGCAGCAGCACCTAGCGTCGCTGCAGCAGCAGCAGCAAACGTGTGGGGACAAAGAAGAGACAATGAAGAGATCGTTTGGAGAGAGACAGATATGGAAGTAGAAGCAGCAAGAAGCTCAAGGGGGATTTAAAGTGTCTCTTTTTGTCTCTTTTGTCTATTTTTATTGCTTCCCCTTTTTTTGTCTCCACTCCTGCTGCTGCTGCTGCTGCTGGCGCCCGCCCTGCTGCGCATCATCTTCTTCCAAAACTTACCCACAAGGTCTTGAGTTTTTCATTTGGTACCTCTACTCCCAGCAGCAGCAGCAGCAGCAGCAGCAGCTGCAGCAGCAGCAGCAGCAGCAGCGGGACAGAGGCAAAGGAGGAGAGGGCGAGGAAGCGCGGGGAGCAGCAGCAACAGCAGCACCTTGAAGAATAGCGGCAGCTGAAGCAGCAGCAGGAGCTGAAGCAGCAGCAGCGTCAGCAGCACTAGCAGCAAACAGCAGCAGCGCGTGAGCAACAGCAGCTGAAACAGCAGCAGCGTCAGCAGCAACAGTAGCTGACACAGCGGCAACGTCAGCGTCAGTAGCAGCTGAAGCGGCAGCAACGTCATCAGCAGCAGCGGCTGAAACAGCAGCAGCAGCAGCAGCAGCTGGAAGAGCAGCAGCAGCAGCGGCTGAAACAGCGGCAGCAGCGGTAGCTGAAACAACATGTGCAGCAGCTGAAACAGCAGCAGCGGTAGCAGCAGCTAAATTAGCGGCGGCAGCAGCTGAAACAGCGGCAGCAGCAGCAGCAGCCGAAACGGCAGCAGCAACAGCAGCAGCTGGAGCAGCAGCAAAGCAGCAGCAGCTGGAGCAGCAGCAGCTGGAGCAGCTGGAGCAGCAGCAGAAGCAGCAGCAGCAGCAGCTGGAGCAGCAGCAGCAGCAGCAAGAGCAGCAGCAGCAACAGCGGCAGCTGGAGCAGCAGCAGCAGCAGTAGCTGGAGCAGCAGCAGAAGCAGCAGCTGGAGCAGCAGCAGCAGCTGGAGCGGCAGCAGCAGCTGGAGCAGCAGCAGCAGCCGGAGCAGCAGCAGCAGCAGCAGCTGCTGCTGCTGGAGCAGCAGCAGCAGCAGGGTGTGTGTTGCTTCAGTGAGGGCCAGGATGGCGGAGTGTGGGTGTTTGTATGTGTGGAGTGTACATACACTGGAGAAGAATTTAAAATTGGATTTCGATTTATTTTTATTTTATAAAATAAAAAGCTGCTGCAGCAAACAGCAAAGTTGGCAGTAGAGAGAAGAACAATTTAGTTATTTGTGTCACTTGCTGCAGCAGCTGGGATCGAATTGGTTTGGGCGGGATCGGTGTGGGGTGTGGGATCGTCTTCGAGGCGATCCCGATCCCGGGATCGGTGTGGGGTGTGGGTCGATCCCGATCCCGGGATTTGTGGGGTCTTTGGACACGATCCCGATCCCCGGGGACTGGGATCGAGGCCGGAGACGATCCCGATCCCAGCTGCCAATTTGGGGGGCTGGGATCGTCTCCCTGGAGTCGGGGATCGCCTTTTTGGTCCCGATCCCGATCCCGATCCCGATCCCCGTTCTCTGTAGTGTACGTACACCCCAAGTAGCCCTTTTGGCCCAACTTGCCAAGCAGCCGTAGGCAGCAGCTTCCAGAAGAGACTTTTAATCCAATCCTCTTTTATTTACTCATTTGCTTCAGCAGCAGCAGCAGCAGCAGCAGCAGCAGCAGCAGAACGCGACTTCGCGAAACCCCACAGCCCCCAGCAGGTTCCCTACACGACGCTCTTCCGATCTCAAAAACTCTTCAGCCCTTTTGACTCCGCCGTCAGTCTTTTCCGACCAATCACTTCATTTGTTGATTATTTATTTATTTATTTATCTATTTATTTATATTTATTTATTTATATTTACTTATTTATATTTATTTATTTATTTATTTATTTTGTTTGAGACTTCGGCGCTAGGGCTTCCAGCCGGCAGAAATAAACGAAAGCGACCAGTTCTTGTCTCTTTGAAAAATGATAAATAAATAAATAGATGAAATAAATAAATAAATAAATAAGAGTAATAAATAAATAATAGAGATGCAGAAATAAATAAATAAATAAATAAGATACAGACATGGGAGCGGCTGAGAGCCGCTGGAGCTTTGAGGAAGTTTTGAAGAATGAAGGGGAATGCTGCTGCTGCATTGTTGCTGCTGCTGCTGCTTTGTTGCTGCTGCTGCTGCTGCTTCGCTGCTGCTGCAGCTCTTCTGTGCCAGCTGATCTGCTGCTGAGGTGCTGCTGCTGCCGCTGAGCTGCTGCTGCTGGCCTGCAGCAGCAGCAGCAGCAGCAGCAGCAGCTAGAGAAAGAGTTTGGCGAGTTCGTGAGAAATGCTGCTGGGAGTGAAAACCCCCAAATCCGAAAACAAAAGAGAAATAAATTCGGGTTTTGTGAAGTCCAAGTTGTCCAGCGAGTCCCTAAACCCTAAAC